TACGGTCAGCAGATGACACGGTGCGAATAAATAAATGCGGAGTGGCGAAGCGTCCTTCCTATATATATGGCTTAGGGGCCTGTAGCCTCCACAGTACTGGAGGGAATTTCTGCAACTGAGTATAGTTGCTGGCATCGCACTAATACCCCTGTCACACGAGAAAGTTTAACGTCATTTTAATCTAATGACATTCGACACATCGAATGACATTCGGAAACGTGTGCTACTACACGGGAAGATACAATATCATTTGTAAATGATGGCAATCACGATGTCGCTAATATGGGACTAAACTAAAGTAGTCACAGCGTTTGTAAGAAATTTGTTACGTACACTAATGGTTATAAAAATGTTTCCACAGGGATGACATTGAGAATGAAAGATTAATATGCATTTGTTTAAATATCCAAAGAAAAGCTCGTAGCTCGTATGAAGTCAAGGCGAGACTGGAGCCACTATTGCTCTTAGGGTCACGTGGTATGTTAACCGTTCAATATGGTTCACGTGGCGGAGTGCGAAGAAGCCGCTGCAACTTCTTGCGCCGATCGGATAAGGCGCGTAAACCTTCGCGTTGCGTTTGGCGCATCTCGGCTCTGCTAAGTGGTCCTCCCATAATCTTATCAGAATGAAAGTTCCAGCTTCTGTCCACCAGACGTTTTTTTTTTCGGCGCAGGCTGCGTGCCGCCATCCACCTACGTTGACGAAATGGGAGACACGAGTTCTGCGAGTCAGCCGTGGACTACCTAACAGCTCCGAGGCTAGCGTAAACACTGAGAACATGGCTGACATAGCCACTATGGCTGGCAACGCAATGTCGCTGTGAACGAGAATATTCACATTTCTAACGTGACAGCGTTAAGAGCTCGTGTCGGAGAAACCCCGCCGCTGGCGTCGGCCCCGTTGGTTGTGAGCGAAGAATTGTCTGTGCGTCTATGACCGAAAAATCAAGTTACTGAGATAGCCGTGCGAGGCCGCTACTTGTCCACGCGTGCGCGCGCGATCAGACTGATAAAGCCGCGCATTCGAGGAAAAGAAAGTGCTCAAGGTCACGAGGCAAAGTAGTTACTTTACCCTGCCACCTCTCCCTGCTTAGCTTTCAGCGCTTTCGTCGGGACGCGAGAAGAGATAATGCAATTGCAGCATGCGACAAACTTTTATAACTCCACTCGCACTAGATGGATTCTTAAAATTTTTGCGGCGTTGAATTCCTGGTGCAATAAGCTCTTTTTGTGAATTCATTCCATGGTTACTTGAAAAAGTGTTTCAGGGCCACTTTAATGCATTTTGTTCGACAGGTGTCACGATAAAAACGAGGCCATTCGGCGATAATAGCGTGCGCTGGTCCAATCTTTTGTGTACGTTTCTGAGTTCGTGCGTGTGTATGTAACAAAACATATGAATAAGTGCACACTTAGCGGTTGAAGGGTGCACTAGAGGCTTGATTTCGCTATTGCGTTCAACTCTTTAAGGCATAAGCTTAAGGGCCTTCCAATTTTTTCTAACTACTCAGTTGAATTGTATGCAAATAATTTAAACACTTAAAAACAAAACCATAATGATACTTGTTATGATTTATTAACCCTTTTGTATGTAGTCTATTCCCGGCCGTCTTCCGGCGAGAGTACATCTTCGCGACAAAAGCTCATTCGAATAAGTTCGGCTAGGTCATTCGTTTTCTGAAGTAATTTTCTTTTAATCACACTAGACGTCACCGTGTGACAGCCAACTAAAGTCATTAAATGTAGATGTCATTAGGTGCAAATTACATTGAACTTTCTCGCGTGACAGGAGTATAACAAAACCAGATTTAAAGATAAATTCATTGGTTGTGCCGCCCGCACCACTCACGCCACTCTCACCACCAATGTCACCGCAATAATACAGGCGGCCTCTGTAACGGTGCCCACAGATCGTTTCCCAGAGCCGCCACCAGGGGGCTGCGCATGCGCTGTAGAGGCATGCAAAAGGCGGATTGTCGTCGTGGTCATTCGTGTGCAGTAAGGTCAAGGGGGAGTCTGAATGTGCGCGTTTGTGTTTTGTGTGATGTGCGCGTCGGTGATTTACAGCCCGCCAAAGCCATGCATGGCATCAGCGTTCCCACATGTGCGTGTGTTACTTGGGTGCCGCAACTTGAGGAACTTGGCGATCTCTTGCAATATGTGGTCTGCTGTGCGAGTGATGATATGAGTGATGTGAGTGCGGAGGAGGTGTGAGAAAAAAACGTCCTACAGAACCTGCTTGCGCGATACAGTAAGAAAGTTAAAAAGGAAACCGGTGAGGAGAATGTGCAGTGGTGTGCATTAAAAACAAACTGAGTTCATCCGCTGTGTGTGTGATTATTTTGAGGTGTGTCTATTGGCGCAGATGCGTCATCCTAACGCGATTGATTTCTGTGCCAGGAAGTGCCCGTTGCGTAAGCGCTTGTCTCACACTCGATGCACGAGCGCCTTGCATGAAAAACACCCTGCGAGGTTCTTCGAAACGCCAAATGACGCGTGCTATGCAATACCACCATCAATTGCATCCGGCGTGATCTTTACTGAGGTGACACCACTGAAACTATCGTTCAGTTAAAAAAAAATGAAGAATTCTTTTTTAAGGCGTTGTGTTATACGTATCTGTAACTTACTTTTGCCTAACACGTTTTTGTTGCATTGTGTCTGTATTGCACGCATGTATTACGTAGCGATAGTTTGGTTGCATTACGTTACATTAGAGTCCCGTAAAAAAAACATCACCGTGAATGGTGCATTGCGCTCGCCTGTGAAAGCAAAGTCTGGCACGCAACTCACTGGCATTCACTGGAGAGATATCGCCGGCATTCACTGCAGTTCCAATTTTATTATATGCACCACTGGAGAGAGAAAACTCTATTACCCAGCGCTGTCGCATAGGTACATTCACAGAAGCAGTGACCCATGTTCCAGCAAAACGGGGTGCCGCTTTGAAAAAGTTGAATATTGAACGGCTGACGGTGTCACGACAACACTAATGAGCGCAAGTTGTCCAAGCAAGGAGAAAAAAAATTCAATTGCAGCTTTTAGTCCCCGCCACTTAAGCAGCGTACATTACCTTGGTATAAAGACAACGTATGCAATGTCACTGGTAAACACATTGCGCGCTACGCGCTTTTGTTTTGTCGAAACAAGACGTCCAATGAAAGATTGACGTTTACCTCCATCACGAGGACAAGCACAGTGACTCGAGACGCACATTCACTACTTGTGGCCGCACAAGAATCTAAATTCACGAAGTCAATCTCAGATTGATTCTCAATTCTTCACATTTAGTCAAAGTTGCCATAGTTACAGCTATAGAGATCCCTAAAAATAACTAGAGGGGACTATGGCGCTGCCATCGTTCAGCGACCGGGGAATGATGGGTAGTACACGGCTTTGCCTACTCTGCGCACTTGCGAGAGGCGAATCGCGATTGTGGCTTTGTTTAGTGCACTGTTTCTGTTTTGTTAAGAACGGAAGAACGAACCTTTTTGAACTTCGTGACCCAATTTGAAATGGTAAGCCCAAAAGAAAAAGGTGGTGAAGCGCAACCTCTGAGCGTTTGCTGATTTTTGTTTCGTGAGAAAACAGCTCCAAGCCGCATGAACACACAGGGAGCCAGAAGTTCGAAAATAAAGCAAATCAGTGTACTACCCATCATTCGCATGCTCGCTGAAGCGCCGTGCATTGCAGCTCGTATATACACTAGCACCAGAGTGTATAATTAAGAACCTCTTGGTTACAGCACATACCAAAGAAACCTATATAGTAGCGAAAGTTTTATGAAACAACATGCAAATTGAAAACGATTCTAGAAAACTTCAATTATGCGCCTGTTTTATTTTGTGAAACTGCATAAGAGCGATCTGTGTCTTGGATCTGTGTAAGAGCGATCTGTGTCTTGGAAACATCACGTTAAATGCGGCATTGTTTGTTTTAGTACTTCGTAGAAACGTCGCCTTCGAGAGATGTACATTACTTCTTCGTGGACTCCGAGATGAGTGCGGTAGGGGGCGCGATTTAAACAACAGATATATTGCTGCGCTCACACTGAACTCCGTGCCCTAAGAACTTCTTTGATTGAGCTTTGGTTTCTATGTTTTAATATCAATGAAGTATTTCGGGATAATGGTTGTATGAGTGAAAATGATTGCTCTTGTTCGGGAAATACTTCCTTTTTAGCGCGGAGACATGAAAAATAAGGACAATGTGTCCTCGTGGGCGGAGCTTATAATAACTCTTACGTTGTCACCGGCTATAGCGACGCTTTCTACATAGTATACGTTCGAAGATCTACAAAAAAAGCTCGAAGACGGCCGACATTGCACGTTCCTCAGTAAACGACGGCAAACGCCGCCATCGTGATTCCGCGCGGCGGCGCCCTGTGTTGGAAAGAAACACGTGTGCCATCTACGAGCCTCTTTGTTTGAACACAAACACTGGTTGCATCGAAAGCGTGTTCGCGCTCCGTGATCGCATCTCGTTATCCCGTTTGTTCCTTGTGGGGTTTCAGTTTCGTTGGAAGAGGGATTTGCGGCCTTCGATTTGTAAACCTTCAGGTGGTCATATTATATACATATACAGTTTTTCCATAACGTCGCCTGTGTTGGCGCAGCTGTGTTGTTTCGGGACTTCCAGGCATTGGTTCGCAATACACGAGTGTCGCAAGCTTCGAAAACAACTTTTCTTTTTTCACATCCGTGCCCTCGTATACTCAACGGGCTTTCAGTGAATCTTTTATTACAACTTTCACATGAAATAAATCATTTGCTGAATTGAAACTTGGATCCCACGTACTTCGAATTGTCTTTTGTACGGAAAGTTTTCGATTGGTTTTTTTTTCTTCTGCAATTAGACCCCCCCCCCCCCTTCCGGTGGTGGGCTCTTGAGCGGAATTTTTAAAGGTGCCTTAATTGTTGAGTATATTTTTAGCAAACGTTGTTGCGCGAAAGTTTCAACCTTTAACCGAGAAATAATTTTGTTTTCCTTTCTTTATTACAGGTATCCAGAATCCCAAGTTATGCAGACGCAGGCAAGATCATCTTGACAAGGCCTTCCCTACAAGTCAACCATTATGCAAAACCAAGAAAAGAACTTTATATTTTTAATGGTGCACAAAGAATAAATACCTTGTGCGCGTGTGTATTATCATTTAAAGTAAGTAGGAAGTGATATTTTGGCCTTTTTGTTGTAGATAGTTTTTTTTTTCATTTTATTCTACTTTGCCGTGTGAAGGTCTTTGATAAGTTTTCGTTCTTTGCAGAAAATAAATAAACATGATTGATTTCCAGGAATGTTGCTCTTTTTGTACATGCGTCATTCTTATTAGTTCAGTCACACTTCTCATTTATTATTCTTGATTAATCAGAACTACCAAGATGTAAACTGCTATCTCTTCAAGGTGAGGCACAAAGTTCCACATCAAGCTTGTTTGATGACCAAGCTCGCTCGAGGATAAGTAGCTGTTTTACCGCATCAGATCCGACCACACGTTACATCCGGGTATTGTGATTCGAGACAGGGTGATGCGTGTCTTTCACCGTGAAGTTAACGACAACGAACATTGAATTTGATATTTCGAATTTTATACTGCGATACGGACATGTTACGAGGAGGGCAAGTAAAAGCTTTGAGAACAGCTTGAGTATCCCTGACCGTCTAGTACACGCGGTAGCACAAAAGACGTGCGGCAAAGTGCAACCAAAATGGAAGAAGAGTGTTTCATAATGTGCAACAAAAAATGAAAAAAATATAATGGAGGCATAAAGAAGGCAGTTGCCAGATCATATTTTTATACAAATACCAATCACAATTGTTTTGGCGATATGCTAGATGTGTCCATGTTATACTCCCTAGTTGTGTGAATTAAAAGTTTAGGTGGTTGTAACTTTAATATTTGGTTTCGTATTTTGTTCTACATTCTGATATGTACCAAGCTTCAGGTTGACGTACATCATAAGCAGGAACAATTTTCTCTAACCTAGTCATTCTGGCAATCGTGACATTATTTTTCAACAAACGGAACTTACATAAACGACTTAGTTTGTAATCATATATTGATACAACCTGAACGATGCAGTGTTTTCTAAACAATTCTCAAGCGGTGAGGGAGTGATATGGTACTTTACAAGCAAGACGCAAAGCTTTCTTTCGCAAGTTTGCGAACGTTTACAGTTGTCGTTGTGGACTTTACAAGAATGAGGTAATTCCTCAAAGAAAAGAAAAAACGAGTTATATATGAGTACGTTAACAGAAACAGGAAAGCACTGACAATGGTGGCGCATAACGCAAATTATCCGAAGTAGCTTAGTAATAGTATGGTTCACGTAATCAACCCATTTCTAGTTTTGTCAAAAATACGCGCCTGATGATTTGAAACTTTTGACAACTTTAGTTTCTGAGTTATTCAAGGAAATGGCAAGGAACTGAACTTGAGTGTGGCGGGGGTGAAATAAAACAGATTTTGTTTTATTTATGTTTAGTCTTTAGAGAGCTTACTTGGGCCCATCAGTTAATTTAAGACAGTACGTTATTTGCTCAACTGCAATGGGCTGATTCATCGATACGAACTATCTCATTAGCATAAAGTGTAAACAGAAACGGTTGTAAGATGCTTCCCTGTGGGACGCCTATTTTAATAAATTTTGTTACGGAATGTTTGCCTTCAATTAGGATTAAATGAGTGAGGTGTTGCTAGTATGACATGATGAATTTGTGCGCAATGCCTTTTATGCCGTAATTATACAACTTATGTAGGATAATGTTATGATTTAGATCGATGGCCTTTGAGAAATAGAGAAAAAAACCGAGTACCACATTTTGGAATTCAAAATTTTCTAGAATGCATTATTCTTTTGCATGTAGGGCTAGATCAGTAGATTTATATTTCCGGAAGCTATACTGTGCTGAAGTAATCAAGTTGAACTTGTCATTAAAATAGGTCAAGCGTTTCAAAGTTATTCTCTCCAGACCCTGCGAAAACATGAGTACAATTGATATTGAATGGTAGTTTGACATCTCAGTTCTGGGACCCTTTTTATAGATAACTGACACTTTTTCTATTTGTATGTCCCACCGAAAACTTCACGTAGGCAAACATATGTGAAAAATTCAGCTAAGAGATGGGGCTAGTAAGTCGGTTTCATTTGAATATTGTCCACGCCAGTCACTTTGCTATTAATGAGTGTCAAAAATGTCGCTACTAATTCACTCTTTGAAACTGGCTATAAAAATATTGTTTGGTAGTTTGATTATACTCATATTTTAAAGGACTACTACTAGTTCTAGTTCCGCCAACTGGCAAAAAGAAGTCGTTCGATGCATCAGCTGATTGAGGCCCTTGAAGTTTTCTTCCATCTTTCACAATTTCTGTTACTGCTTCCGGTAGATTAATAAGCGTACTGTCAAGTTCTTTCCAAACGTTTTCTGCACGCCCTTGTGCCGAGTTAAACAGGTCTGAAAATTATAGTTTTTTTTTCATCACGAAGGCGTTTGGTGACAAAGTACCGGTGCTTTTTAAATGCTTTGACGGTTTCAGGTGACTTACTAACTATAAATGCCTTGAACTTCATAGCTTCTCCACTTTCTCATAAGCTGAAAAAACAATTTTATTTACTCAAGGTTTTCCACTTTTTTAGATGTTTTAAATGACTTTATGGGAAAACATCGAAGATATATTTCGGTGAACTCGTTCATAAAAAAATTGTATACGAAGTTGGGGGTACTTGCTGCAAACACATTGCTCCAGTCGGTTCGGCCTCAACGCTCTCTAAAAAGGGTCAGTTTTTCAGCATTTACAAGTCTATAGAAAATTCTGGGTGCAATTTTGTGGTACGTTATTGAGCTGGTATACTACAAATAAATAGTTTGTTTACACACTTGGTTGGTGGTGGTGGTTAAAAGAGTGTGAAAGCGGCTGCAGTCTTATAATCGGCCAATCTCCTCCATTGGGTAGGAGCCATGTGCAGAGAAATACAAAACAACAACAACAACAACAACAACAACAGCTTGCCCCTTCTCGACGTCCAGGTGGCAAGAAAGCGCCTTGGCCTTGAGTTCTCCGTCTACAGGAAGCCGACCAACACCGGCCGTTACCTTCAATATTATTCATCTCATCCTGTCACCCGCAAGGCCTTGGTTGTGTCCACGTAACTCCAGAGAGCCAAGGGCATATGCTTCCAGTGACACGGAGCTGAAGGAGAGTATTGCGGACCTCAGGAAAAACAGGGTACGCGAAAAACTTTTCACGATCCGTCACCCACCACGCAGAGCAACATAGATACAAAAAAACCCAATCAGCATTAATTGGCAGCCCTTCGAAACGCGTACCGGGCCTCATACGTCCAAGGAACCAGCGAGATGTTGGCCCAGATCTTAAAAATAAAGAAAGGGTGCGTATCGCGCACGCGCCTTAATGCACGCTGGGCCGCCTCCTCTCCCGCCCGAAATACTGGTCAACAATAGACAGGACCCCCGGTGTTGTTCACAAAATCGCGTGTGCCGAGTGCCATTCTTCGTATGTTGCGGGAGAAAAAAACCTACCGGAACGACCAATACAACACGCCAACGACGTTCGAAAGCTTAACAAAGTGCACAGCGCTGTCGCCGAGCATGGTGAGCCGTTTGACCACCAGATAAATTTTAACACAACGATCATCTTGGAGACTTATGTGGTGGAAAAATGCTCGAGTCGTGGCATATACGGCCCCAAACATCAAACATTCTCTCGGAACCCCTCCCCTGGTGTATGCCCTGCGGCAAAACGGGGAGTGATTAACCGCCCCGCGAGTGCCTTCAAGATGCCACTGCAACATCGCATCAGTCCCTCTTAAAGAAGGAACCAAGTCGGTTTCGAAACGTCCATTCCTTACAAATTTTCGCGTATTCTACTTTCGCTGGAGTTAAAGTAGTTTACCAGTTCATATTTTTCTATGAACACAGTGAGGGAGACAGAGAGAGAAAATAAAGGAGGAGGAGGAAGAAAGTTTAAGCGGACAGAGAGGGAGGTTAGCCAGTTCTTAGACCGGCTGGCTACCCTGTGCTGGGGAAAGGGGTGAGGGAAATTATAGATGTTAGAAAGAAATGTTGCGAAGAGAGAGAGAAAATAAAACATTTATTGGTACTAAATAAGTCGCTATTGTGGTTGGACCTTCCATTCCGGAAGACCATTGGCTCTTGCCACCATCCGGGCTTGGACGACCAGAGCCTGTTGCTGCACTGGGTAAGAGCTGGACAGGGTCGCCTCTCACTAAACTAATGTAGGACTATGAGTGTCCGATATTCTGGGATAATTTTGACACTCCCAGACCATATGAATTAAAGTGTCCGTCTGGGGACAGAATTTACACTGCAGATTGTACATCGAAGGGTCTACTTTGGACAATACATAAGGATTTGGAAATGCTGATGATTGTAGTTGTCTCCACGCGACCTGCGATGCCTTATATAACTTAGGGTCAGGTGGGCGTAGAGTGCGTATACTCAACCTGATGTGTTGCAGGATGTCAGTGTACAAGAGGAGAGGCTGGGGATCGTCCTGGTCAGCAAAAAGGTGTGTTGTGGATGAAGCAACGGAGGCCTGCTGTAAGAGATCGCAGACGGAGGCATGAGCGCGTTCATTGACTCCAACTTCTGTCTGCCCTGGTAACCATAGCTGTTGTATCCACGGGCCCTTTTGATGACGGGCCGCAGCCTGTTGCAGAATTCAATGTGCTAACCGGCCGACTTGACCTCTGGCAAAATTGCGATATGCCGCCTGGGAATCCCTGAGGGAAAAGGTGGCTTTTGGGTTACGCATGGGTAAAGGTATACCGGCCTGTTCCATGGATGTGATGTCTACTCCGCTAACTGAGATGCAGTCCACGACATAGCTGCCCCTGATTACCACAGATGCCATGGCGCGGTTGTGCAGGGGTCTGGGCGGCATCCACAGAGAAGGCGTCTTCGCAATCTCAGTATTTGTCACATACTCTCGCTCTGGCAGCTCGTCTGTTTTTGTGATGAACGGGGTGCATATTGCGTGGCAAAGGCTGAATATGGACTTGCTTTTGCCATTCTTGTGGCAGTGATAGTTCACCAGCGATCTTCATTGGTGGATTTATGCCGATAGTGTCTAGCGTGGCGGGACCTGCCTCGGTACGTGCGAGCTGAATCCCTTGGTCTGTGTGATGAGCTTCGAAAAGCTCTGACACTTTATTATATATTCCGATCACAAGCAATATGTCATTCATGGCCCATGGGGGTAGATTGAGGGATTTCCGATAATAATGCCGTAGTAGACGGTCTAATTTGTTTTGATCTT